CCCGCCTCGGCCTCCCAGAGTGCTAGGATTACAGGCCTGAGCCACCACGCCCGGCCAGCTCTTTTATTTTTTTAATGTGCTAGAATGAATTATACCCAAAATTTTGGCTATGCTGTTAGACTAATATACTATTAGACTAATTTAGGTTCCATCATATAACAAAATGTGAATTCATTGACATAGGATCTACTTTGCTTGGTGCTTACCACTTTATGACTGTCAATAAATGTTCAGTGTTGTTCTGGCATTTGGAAATTAGTTAATAATTTGCCCCTCTTGCTTTCTTTGGAGAAAAATGCTATATTACTTCTAGGTGATCTTTTTAGGTTTACAAAAGATACTGCAAGATTTAAGGATGAGTTAGATATCATGAAGTTTATTTGTAAAGATTTTTGGACTACAGTATTCAAGAAACAAATCGACAATCTAAGGACAAATCATCAGGTATTTGAATAAATTAAGGCCTGTCTTTTAAGTCCTTTAACTTAATATGAATGTCCCATTTTAGTGATTTACTTACTTAAAACTTAAAATAATTTCTGGTTGATTTGGAATGTTTCTTTATGTTATTAATAAGTCATTAGTTTTTTCTCTATCAGGGTAAAGTGAATAAAGACAAAAGGACAGTTAACGGTAATGATAGCTGTTCCTTTTCCCCAATTATATAAGTTATGTTAAATTTTAAAAAGTAGTAAATGTCAGAATGATACAGGTTTCAGAACTTGGTTCCTTAGTTATTATTATTTAGTTGTCTTAATATGCAGAACCACAAATCTATCGTATTTATGTCTTTAATTTCTAAGGTCTAATTTATAAAGTATTTTTTACTCTTAAATAACTTGCATTATTATGTCATTTTCTAGTCTAATGTTTTGTTACTACAAAATTAGTAGATTGCATAGAAAACTATGTATTTAAATAGATTGATTTTAAAAACTATGCATTTAAATAGATTGATTTTATTTTATAAACCTCGAGGAAATACTTAGAGTGGATTTGGCATTTTTAGCAGAAGGGTGGCGGGGGGGAGCGCAGGGTCTCACTTTATTCCCTGGGCTAGAGTGCAGTGGCGTCATCATAGCTCACTGCATCCTCAAACACCTGGGCTTAAGCAATCTCCTGCCCCAACTTCCCAAGTAGCTGAGATTACAGGTGTGTACCACCATGCCCTGCTGATTTTTCTATTTTTTTGTAGAGACAGGGTCTTGCTATGTTGCTCAGTTTAGTCTTGAACTACTGGCTTCAAGCTGTACTCCCTCCTTGGCCTCCCAAAGTGTTAGGATTATAGGCGTGAGCCACCTCACCTGGCCAGATTTGGCATTTTGATTAAGTAAAAAATTAAAATATTTATAATGTTTCTGACACTACCAATAGAATTCATTTTTCATATAATAATATCAACTTTAGCTTGGAATTACTTGAAATGCTAATGATAAAAAGTGACTCTGATTATTGACTTTCTAGACATGACTTAATTGTACATAACAGCTAATTTCACATGGGCATGTATTAATGATTTTTTTGCCATAGAGTGTGAGTATTTTAA